CACCTTGTTGAATATCGCTAATGGATTCTTCAAATATTTTTTCTGAATACACATTGAATAACAGTGGTGACAATATGCAACCCTGTCTAACGCCTCTTGAAATGGATATCCCTTCTGTTATATCACCATCGATGTTTACATGCGCCGTTTGTTGCCAGTACAAATTTTTAATGCATCGGATTTCCTTGTCATCAATATCAATGTTTTGAAGAATTTCTATAAGTTTATCATATTTCACGTTGTCGAACGTCTTTACAGTTTTGAACTAAAACTTGAATACATAATAGTGCTTCCCGAGTTCCAAGTCCTTCCTTAACACCAAATTGTGATTTCCCCATCACTTCTTCGCATTTTTTGTATATTCTGCCGTGTATAATTTTTAGAAAAATTTTTAGAGCATGTGATATAAGGCTGATAAGTCTGTATTCACTACATTTTTTTGCATTTTTCTTCTTAGGCAGTGTTATGAAGATAGATTTTACCCAGTCGTCGGGATATTGTCCAGTATCGTGTACATAATTAAACAATTTTACTAATAGATTAGTATTTTCTTCATCAATTAATTTCAAAATTTCAGATGGAATCTCGTCTGGGCCATTTGCCTTATTGTTTTTCATCGATTGTATAGCTTTCTTGATTTCGTCTTTAGTTATGTACATTCCAGTTGGCATACTTGTAAAATAAATATCATTATTTAGTCTACTGCTATCAGAAAAAACGTTTTCAAAATATGTTTTCCAAATTCTTTTCATTTATGTCAAAAACTGTCATCACTAATGAGAAATGAAGGAGAGTTTTTTCGGTAAATTCCTGCAGTCAGTTTCAGTTTTTTGTGTAGATTGAAGTCATCATGTAGTGATTGCAATCGTTCAATTTCTTGGTATTCATTATTTACCCAAACTGTTTTTGCTGTACGAATCTTACTTCTGATGTCTCTGTTTAATTGCCAATATAGATCTAGTTGTGTATTTTTATACTGATGACATTCATTTATCAATTTCACTATATCTTCGGTCATCCAATGATTTTTTATTTCTTTCCTATATGATCCAAGAATTTCTTTCGATGAAGATGTAATCGTTGTCTTGAGTTGCTCCCATATATTATTTGGGTTCCTAGAATCAATACTACTAATGTTATGATTTATTTTATTTTTTAATGAACATTTTATGTCATCATTTCGTAGCTTTTCTAAGTTGAGTTTAAGGCTTGGTTTCTTTTTGCGATTTGATGCTAATCTTATGCAAATTTTCGCCATTTGAAGATTATGATCAGATGAAGAGCAGAAACGATAATTAATGGGGATGAAGTCTATTTGATTTCTGATTATCATGTTATCAGGAGTTTCAGATGAAGATTTTCACGTATATAGTCTACGAGGAGGTAGATTGAACATAGTATTTGAAATCTTTAATTTATATTCTTGACAGAATTGTATTAGTCGATCTTCTCTATCATTTGTTTCACCTAGTCCATACTGGCCCACAACTCCATGAACTTCTCCTCTTCCAACCTTTGCATTAAAGTCTCCTTGAATAATGTTTATTTCATGTGATTTGGTCAGTCGCATAAGTTCATTTAATTCAGCATAAAAAATTCTATTTCGTTATCACTTTTGTCAACAGTTGGTGCATATACTTGAATAATATTTATATTAAGTGGTTTGGCATTTATTTTCACCATCATGCCCTATCGGATTTGGGAATGAATCCATTGACAAATTTTGCAATATCCTTTTTCATTAGTATGCCTACTCCATTACGATGATGTTTGTTTTGGTTGCCAGAGTAATAAACCTTTGTGTTTTGAGAAAAGAATTCTCCGCAGTCGGGCCACCATGTTTCGTTTATGCCGAGTATATCAATATTATGTTTCTTCATTTCTAAAATCGTGTTAGCTAATTTTCCTGCCTCGTACAAGCTTTTAGTATTCCATGTTCCAATGTTTAAAGTTTGTTTAGTTTTACCTTCGGGGATTCTTAGCACCCTCGTATTGGAGACTGAGGGCATTGATTGTGGTTGTACTTCCATTGTTACATGATATGCTGGGATATGTACTTCAGTGGTTTCCCGTTGCCTTCTAAAGGGTTTATTGTTTTCCGTCAATACACATTTATATAGCGAGCCAAATACATTTTTCCGCTTTCAGCCATACCTCTGGTGTCAGACGCTGAAACGTTGTAGATTGCTTTTGGCTTCGATATTCACTGTTGACCTTACCGGCTTGGAGGCCCTACCAGTAGCTACGCTACCGCCGGCATCGCTCTCTAGATCATCATATCTACTAAGCTCCTTCATCGCGTCAAGATAGCAATCCTCGAAGGAGATTTGGGTATGAAAAAGGTGTTTTCCAAATGGGTGCCGCGTTTGCTCACACAACAACGAATCGATGATTCAAAGAGCTGTTTGGACATGTTTACGCGCAATAAGTCGGAGTTCTTGCGTCGGTACATCACGATGGATGAAACATGGATCCACCATTTCACTTCAGAGTCAAATCGGCAGTCTGCTGAGTGGCATGCAGCCGGTGAAAGCCGCCCAAAGCGACCAAAGACGCAGCAGTTGGCTGGCAAGGTTATGGCGTCTGTATTTTGGGATGCGCATGGAATAATATTTATCGACTATCTCCAGAGGGGGAAGACCATCAACAGCGACTATTATATAGCGTTATTGGAGCGTTGGAAAGACGAAATCGCAAAGAAACGGCCTCATATGGCGAAGAAAACAGTTTTGTTCCACCAAGACAATGCACCGTGTCACAAGTCGATGAAAACGATGGCAAAATTGAACGAATTGAGCTACGAATTGCTGCCGCACCCACCGTATTCTCCAGATCTGGCCCCTAGCGACTACTGGCTCTTCGCAGACCTCAAAAAGATACTCCGTGGTAAGAGATTAGGCTCAAATGATGAAGTAATTGCCGAAACTAACGCCTATTTTGAAGGCAAAGAAAAATCGTTTTACAAAGGCGGTATCGAAAGATTGCAAAAGCGTTGGAATGATTGTATCTTGTATCTCCCTAAAAGGGGACTATGTTGATGAATAAAAACGAATTTTGGCAAAAAATGTGTTTAATTTATTAGTCAGTCACATTATTGAACGAAGTGTTGTAAAGATGGAAATTAACACTAAATTTCCACCTACATAAACTTGCACTAAAAACAATAACAACACGAACTAAAACACATCAATACAACACAGTTTTTTATAAAACAACACACGTTATATATTTATATTTAAACTTGGAAAAAGTAGACTCACTGGTAATAAATGTTGCAAATATCTGGAATTAAATAAATTAATTGATATTTAAAATATTTATTCAAAACAATTTACCAAAACCCAAACCGCTTGCAAGTCTTAATAACACCTTAAACTAATCTGAAATGATATTGAAATGAAATATAAAAATATAATTAAATAAATGAATAATAAACTCACCTTATTTATTGTTAATTATATTTCTTATTTTTATTTTTTAAATTTGATGAATATTTGCATATTATTTATCGTAACAAACAAAATAAATAAAAACCACTACCGACCGAATGTAGTTTTAAAACACGTTTTGTAAGAATCAAAACAAAGCAGCGTTAACATAAGAAAACAAGAACTGCCAAAAATATTCGCCGTAAGAGAAGCTCAAAGAGAAGTTAAATGCACAAGCTGAGTACCGCACAAAACATAAAATAGAAAATCAGAACGGCAAAATTAAACAAGAATTACGTGAGATCAGCTGTAAATAAAAATGATACGCTACACAAAAGCTCGGTCGAGTGTGTATATAAGACGCGCATTTTACTTACGCGAACACTTTGGTTTATAATTTCAAAGGCACATACACCTTGGAAGACCAAGTCAACTAAGCTCTAGAGGCACAAAGGCATAATAACTATTAAGACACGACCGGTGGTTTCACGTCGACTGGGTTCAAAATAGTTGCTAAAAATTAAAATACATAGCGATATTTTATATGAAAAAAATATCGAAATCAAGGTATAATAACTATTAAGACACGACAGGTGGTTTCACGTCGACTGGTTCCAAAATAGTTGCTAAAATTAAAATACATAGCGATATTTTATATGAAAGAAATATCTAAATCAAGGTATAATAACTATTAAGACACGACAGGTGGTTTCACGTCGACTGTGTCCAAAATAGTTGCCAAAATTAAAATACATAAGTGTATTTTGTATGAAAGAAATATCGAAATCAATGTATAATAACTATTAAGACACGACAGGTGGTTTCACGTCGACTGTGTCCAAAATAGTTGCTAAAATTAAAATACATAAGTATATTTTATATGAAAGAAATATCGAAATCAAGGTATAATAACTATTAAGATACGACAGGTGGTTTCACGTCGACTGTGTCGAAAGTAATTTTCTGTAATACGCAAAGGAGACCGACTATAACGAAAATCTCCAAACGAAGGCATGGTTGTAGTAAAGTACTTGAACACGACAGGTGGTCTCACGCCGACAGTATATAAAGTAATTCCACAAGATCCAAAATAATCCCACTAATAAATCCCGCACTTTTTAAAGAAATTGAAATAAAACCACAACACTTTGAATATTTTGGTCACAATCCATAAATTTATTGTGACGACGCTGGTGAGACTGAACATACCTCAGCAAATAAGCAACGACTGCAAGAAAGGGTCGTTACAGTGTTACTACAATTTTAATACGTTTTGGAGATAAAAAGATAGTAAGCAACACAGCCTCTTCTTATATATCGCTAATAATATAATTATTACACTTTCCGATTTTAAAGAAAGACGTAAGTACTGTTCACAATTATTATAAGATGATAAAATAATAAATTAATATTATTACAGCCTCTATAAGTATTTTCTTGCTAGTTATTTTTGGTGGCAAATTGAAAGTGAGCATATCTAAATTTCCTTATAAATTTAGGCACAACCAAGAAATAGTAAATTTACAAAATTGGCAATACTGATGTGACACTCTGCACAACAAGCATTTTCAGCATAGCCCGATAGAGTGAATAACATGGTCTGTATAACATGGGCCTTAGCTGTTTGATTGCATTGTGAATTTGAACTTTATTGTGAACTTATATGTTATTGGGATTTTTGAGTTCCTTATTAATACTAGGTGGTTTAGCGAGATAGAATACTTCCTATTTTCTTTGTTTAATATCGCTTGAGATATGCTTTGGGGTGAGTTCACCAAGTCGGAAAGAGCTGACGCTTCACGAAAATTTATACCAGTTAATATTAAAAGACTGAAACTTAATGAAATAAAGAAGAGACCACCAAAAACAGTTGGTAGGAAAAGGTATACAAATTTCGTTTTATATGATGAACTAGTTACATATTTAATTGCTTTTTAAATCATTTTCATTTTTTTCAGTGTTAACATAAAAATGAAGAATCCGTTAGTTACACAAACAATTGAAGTCATGAAGCAAACTGAAATGCTCCAGTCTTTAATTGATACCTATTCCAATAAATCGGTAAGTTTCGTATAGTGTTAGCATTTTTAATAATGATTATAACGAATATGTTCTAAATTGTAGGGGTCGCCGAATGATCTCAGTCCATGTCAAATGATACCAGAAGTAGATTTTCCCCCTGAAAATTCTGCCGATTTCATTATCAATGATGAAAAGTTTGCAAAACCTACTTTCTTTATTCCACCTAAAGAAAATTGCTTTGCGCTCAGTTTGCCAACGCATTATCCGGAAATTAATACTGAAGTATGTCAAGCATTAATTCGGAAGGCGGTATGTGGTCAATTACGTGCAACAGGTTTCACGGATTCGGTGGATTCCGCTATTACTTTGTTTTCAGACGCAGCTGTAGAATTTTTGCGTATTTTATTAACAGAGATTGGTGCGGTTTGTTCTCACAATCATGTCATTACAATCCAACGAGTACCTGATATTGCATTATTGGAAAAATCTTATTATTCAATAACATCAAATTCATTAACACAACTGTATCATTATTTTAAACAAGTAATTGCAAAAAATCGTATAGAAATCGCGGAATATAATGGAGTACGTTTAGAATATGATAAATTAATGAAAGACAGTTTAACTATTGTAAAACACGAATGCCAACTTACAGACGGTATAGAAAATGCAGATCACGGCTATAGATACATATCCACTGCCAAACAACAAACTGACGTGAGCACGCGTAGCTCACAAATAGTGGAGGGCATAGTTTAAACGCACTCATTTGAATAATTCTAATTCCAAATAAACCCATAAACCACACACAAATTAAATAAAATAAAACAAATCCAATGAATTAAAATCTATTTGCAGTTATTTATTTTTTTGTTTGAAACTAATTTTCGACACATTCCAACAGTTCCTCCGCCGTAAATCCTTGTATTCATTTTGTGGACCTATTAATTTAAAGGTCCCTTTATTATTTAATTTGTACCGAAAGAAATTCCGAGGGTGAAGCCGTTTCCTTGACCATAACGATAAGTCATTTGAATTTAATATAGATTGAGCATTGACAGATGCAGATTCGAACTTAGTTTCCAGATTCATTTCAAAGTCATTACACCCACTACTTTTGAAAATTGTTCGTTTGATGTTTTGTTCAAATTCCTCATATGTTTTAACGTAATTATTAGCATTCTGTAGAAGTGTAGTGTCACTTTCGAAATATTTTGGGGCAGCAAGTGGTGCAGACTCTCCCTGGTAAAACTCATTTTCTTTTATAATTCTGTAAGATAATCTTTCATGAACGAAATGCATTAAATATTTTGGAAACATTAGATCTTGATCTTTCTCATTTTCACAGAGAAAACGATGTGATTTCTGTAACAAAGCTGCTGTGACATCAAAAATTCAATGTACTTAAATAACAGTAGAAAATCTTACGTTTCCCCAAAATAGATGTTTACTTTTTGTATTATTTAATTCTTGTGTAAAATAACATTCATTTAGAAGTGAGTAGTCAACCGATTCCAGTAAGTTTTGTAAATTACTACCAGAGTCACTTGAATTATTCATTATATACAATGTGCGTCAAGTTAGCGTCGGCGATAATTCCGAAATGGAAATGCAACAATTTTTCCCGCATGAAAAATGACCTGAGATTAGATAGCAACGACGCTGAAGGGACCAAGCCGGAATTTGAACACGAAATTTTTCTAAGTTTATTAACTTGTCAAAGTTAGCCAAATTTAAGCTTTTTCACCAAGTAAGAAATATGATTTAGATAGAAAATTCAATTATCTTTCATTTGGTATATACCTCATAACTGTATGTTGCGTAATAGCTGAGATATTCAAAAAATAAAAATATCAAATTTTTTGAAAAAATTGACTTTTTTTACTTAAAAAATTAATTAAAAACCAACCACAAACGGGACTGACATGCACGAATATTCACCTGAAAGGTAATAAAACAAGCTTTCAATTAAAGTAAAAATCAGAAAAATCGTATATACAAAATTTGAGCAAAATCGTATTAAATTTCGATATCAAAACTGCTTAAATATCATCCAAATCAAAAAAGTAATAATGCCAAATGTTCAGAAATACATCACAAAACACAATTTTAAAACTTCAATTAGATATTTTAATTTTATCATAAAATATTGATAAAAAAAATAGCATTTTTTTTAGCTTACTTTACTGTAATCATTATATCCGCGTGTGCAACGGCAACGCATTGGAATTCATTTTTCTTCAAAGACAACAAAATTTCCTTTTAAAAACCTTAAAAATAAAAATCGTACATACACTTTTTTCACAATTATTTTTTAAAAACTGTTCATTTTTTACCTAAAATCCAATTATTTGAAAAATAACCTGCACACTCATAGCGCCAAATGCGGAGCAAACTCAAGGCAGGCGTGCCAGCGCCATCTAAATTTCAAGTATCAATAAGATGTTTGTATTTTTTTACGCAAGTATTGCGAATAAATGAATTAATGAATATTTGAATAGAAAAAGCGACTTTCATATCTAAAAATATTAAATAAATAAATTAATTAATTAATTAAATAAATTAATTAAATCGTGTTCCAATTGAACACGAAAACCATATAAGACAATAAATCACACTTTCAATTGCAACATAAATCAGAAAGATTGATTTCGTCTTTACCCCAGGAAATTTACTCACACATGAATTTTATTATTTCTTTTAAAACATTTGTTTTTAAAAAAGTAAAGATGAGAAATGTTAAGATATATATTATAAAGCATACTTGTAAAATATCAACAAAATATTCTAATTATATCATAGAAATTTCATTAAAAATAAAGGATTTTTTTATAGTATGCATTTATATATCGAAATAAATGTTTGTGCACGAACGGTACCAAAAGCATCTATACATCTCCATAAAGATGAAGAAATTTCCTTTTTAACAAACTAAAAATCGTCAAATTTGTATGCACAACTTTTTTATAATTATATTTTAAAAATTTCTCTTGTTTTTACCAAAAATTCAATATATTTAAATAAGTAACTTCAATCATAGCGCTAAAAGCGGAGAAAATTCAAAGTAGATGGAATAGTAAGATCTAAATTTTGATTCTAACAAAAACACTTATCAGTGTTACAAACCATTTTTTTTGGAAATGCTTGATATCAAAGAATACCTTACAAGAACGGCAACTCCATTGTGAACTAAAATTTGTTTTTTCGCACAACAACAATTTGCCGTAGAGCTCTTGAAAGAGTTAGTGAAAAGTGCACTAACACCAGCTGAAATTACTGAAATTTTTCACCTTTTCACCTTTTTCCGATGCTTCGAGCACGGTTGCCACTTATGGTACTTTAGTACCAAAATTGGTACTTTTTTTTCCGTTTGGTACTCTGGTACTCATGTTCAAAAAATGGTACATTTTCGGCGACCCAACTTTATTGTGGATATTTTTGTACATTTTATATAAATTGTATTTTCTTATAAAAAGACAATAGAAAAATTTTGGACCTTTTTTTACAGAAATGGTACCTTTTTAAACCAATTTCGGTACAGAAAAAAATTTTCAAGTGGCAACCGTGGCTTCGAGTACTTTTGAGAACAGAATATTTCGAAAAGTTTACCACGAAGAGTATAAGAAAGAGTGTGGTTTTGTTTTTTGGTTTTGATTTTTTGAGAGTAATATAAAAATTCGTTGCGCCAAATCATACAAAATTTACCGCGCAAATATTTAACAAAAAGTAGTTAAAATTGAAAGTAGTAGCATATTGTGTTATTACTGTATAAAAAATAATAAATTGTGACAATAAAGATCAGTATTTATATAAAAAGATGGGGAAAAAATGTATTAAAGGTTGTAAAGAGTTTAAATCCCTTTATAAATTCCCGGACAACAATGAGGAACGAAGGTAAACTTTGCATTTCAGTTTTACGTAAATTTGTGGCATAAGTGTTTTGCATAATTGTTTAACAGTATATGTGGAATACAGTAAATGTGGAATAACAAATATGGATGTGTTAATTTAAATATTTGTAAGTAGTAATTCATGTTCGTAATGATAAAGCAATAAAATTATAAAAATTTATAATAAAAACACTGATTTTTTGCGAATAACGTTTCCAGATTTTTTTTTTAATATTATTGAAAATATTAATTTCAATCAAATTATATTTAAAATTATTATATAAAAAAAATCGTTATAAAAATGTTTTTTATATTTCTTGTAGTTCTTATCCTGTACCAGCAAATAAAAATTGAATATGAATCTTACTGATCATAAATGTTAAGTAATCTACAAAATAGATGTTTAAATGTATTGTATTTTCAATGGCATGTATTTATTGAAATTTAATTGTATGTCGTATGTAAAAAGTAAATAATTGTTTTTTAGCATAGCAATTTGTGTGAAAATTATTGAAACGTCTGCAAAGACAAAACTAACTTTGTGTTATTATTTGTAGTTAAATATGTTTATTTTTTATTGTTGATCCTTTTTATGTAACTACTCAAATATACTTGTTTTTCTTTATAATTAATTTTTATTTTTGTATTTCATTTAATTCTGATAATTATTTACCAAATTAGAACAGAATGGATGAAGCGCTTAGGAGTAGTTGGGCAAACTAAATATATGTTTGCCTGTAACAATCATTTTTCTGCCGAAATGATGTGTTCTGCACGAATTTCTAAATGCGCAATCTCGGACGTTAATTTAGATTTAAGTTATATTAGTAATTTAAATAAAAATGTAATTAACAACGAAAGTAATGTGGAAAATGAAAAGCAAAATCACCTCTCTAGCATAGGAGTTAGTAAAACCTTTGCAGAGAAACACAATTTATCATGGATCACTTAAGTGCTGCCGTATAAAAAAGTGAATTGGTAGTAGCTTCAATCTTTGTTATTAATTTCACATCAAAACGGTATTTAATGCTATTATATCAAAATTGTTTTTGAAATAATGTTTTACACGCTCAAAAAATATATAAGAAAATATAACTCACTAAATAAGAAATATTCAAAACTGTTCTTTTTATTTAATTAAAATGTTTATATACTATAAAATTCATATGAAAAAAGCAACAAAAATTAATTTACTGAATATATATTACATGATTAAGTAAACTAAACTGATTTAAATTAATTGATTTAAATTATTATATATTAATTTATATATTTATTTATCATATATTATTTGTTACAATATATATTTTGTTTACGTAATGTGATATTATTAACCAAATAAGGAAGCATAAGTTTTTTATATTACTAAAAAGTTAATATATGATTAGCAAGTAGCAGCAAATTATTATACTGCAACCCCAAAAAGAGAGCAATTTGATGTTATCGTGGTAAGATCACATATATTTAATACGTGTGCCAAAATGTTATAAAAAATAAGTTTTCAAAAGCAATTTCAAATGCACTCTCACGAAGTGGGCGGAGTTTCCGTTCTTGTAAAGATATTCTTTGCTTGATATGTTTAGAATCTGTCAATGTTTATGCAAAAAAATTTCAGTGGCGGAATATAAAAAAGGGAAAGCAATTTTATAACACTATAGAACACTATTTCTAAACTCTTGATACAAAAAACGTATTAAACATATAATTAATTGAAAAAAAAAATTAGGAAAATAAATAAATAGATAAAATAAAAATAAAACTTATTTAGTGAACTATAGGTTAGGTTAGGTTAAACCGGCGATCCCAGGGGGATCCACTTAGGCCCATAGGCCCATTGTGATACCGTATTATTTAGAACCCATGGGCTAAAACCATCCAGAACCTTTAACAAAGCTTATGATGCTACATTAAAATATCTTTTTAATAAGATACGGATGAGCAAAATCGGTTAAAAACTATGCGCAAAACACAATAATTAGTTCAGCGACTGTGCTCTGTTTTCTATTTCATACCTTTTAGCTGGCATGCACAATGCTATAGCAAATGTTTACAAGAAACGGAAGAAACATAAATAAAAAATAAAAATAATACATTTCTACTTAATAATTTATATAAATATTTAAGTAGAATTGAAAAAGTAGTCAAAACAAGAATTTTTTCGTAAGCAAAGAGAAAATGGTCGTACAGGGAGTATGACTGAAGTTAATATCCTTTTAGCAAACGAAGCAATAGCGGCTAAAAATTCCATTGATTTTAATTGGAATAAATTCGATGAAGAAATTGCCTCAAAATGGAAGCTTAATCTTTAGACACAGTTCAACAAAATTGGGATAACGCAGACAGAACGATTCAATTTATCACTCCTAGTTTAGTTTCCGCCCTTGACAAATGCAAGGTTTCGGATCGCTACGCTATACATATTTTGTAGTTGTAGGTATGGCGCCCAGGTGCCATCTAAGATTCTCGATGGATGGCGAAAATCATGTACTTACTAAAAATATTTCTTTTAAGAGATCAATTTACATATAACTCGGATGATTTGTACGAGATATATACATTTTTATAGTGAGCATATGTGTGAACATTTTAACCCACACTAGGTTAGGTTATGTTTGGAAGGCACGTACTAACAGTTGTCAGCACTTCTACTCGGAGACTTATATTGCCCATTGGGATGCCCTTAAAAAATTTTACCGGGAGATGCGAGTTGCTAACCTTTGTTATCCTTGTAAACCCATTTGGTTTTCCAGATGAAGTTGA